AGGGCTTCCTTCATGCAAGGCAAGCACTCTACCATAAGCCACATTCCCAACCCCTTTTTTTCATTGATTCCTTCTCTAGATCTTGAGAGCAGTGCTGTGTGAATGTGGTTGGGCCGATTGATATCTCTTCTTGACTCTGCTTTAATTTACCAGAGACCTGACTGTGGGGTCCCAATGAGCCCGACTCATTTGCCTGCACCACAGCGGTCCACAGAGACTCAGAGCAGTGAGGAGGCTTTGGCCACATGGAAGAGGGCAGGTCTGCTAACTTCCTCATGCCAACACCTTTGAGGGTCAGATGGTGGCCCAGGGATCAGTCAGGAGAGGAACTGAGCAGGGTCCCAGACACAGCAGCCCACACCTCAGCCGTGCTCATCAGGGCTGGTTCTGAGAGGTCTATTGCTACCTGTGCCCGCAGGGAGACACGACTCAGAGAGAAGTGACTCAAAGAGCAAATTGGAGTTGGCTGCCGCAGGGGCCATAACCTCTGTATCCAGCAATGACGGTCACCTCTACATCGAGGCGTGCCTGTCACCTTTAGGACAACTCCAGTGGTCAGGGACAGGACACTGTGAAACCTAGAGGACAATAGTTTGTTGGTTTATGTCTCTGTAAGTCTCAAAAATTCATAGTTACTGCAGGTGTCCTAAGCCTCCAAAGGGGAGGAAAGATAGGATGTAAATTTTTGGCTAATCTCCCTCATACTACTAGTTGTTTAGGCAGATACCTCTTTACGGCAGACACAGCTATGAAGGACAGTGCATGGGGAGAGGGATGGGTAGGAGGTGGCGCCGCCCTCTGCATCTGGCCGTTAGAGACCCGAAGGCTCGAGGGAAGGAGTGCAGCCTGGAAAGCAGCCTCTGAGTCCTGCAGACCTGAAGTCTCTAACTGTGTTTCCAGATCGTATAGTATTCTACTTCTCATTTTCTGAGAAACTGATATTTGCTACATTCACTGTATCATTTTAGAATCCAACCCAACAAGGTACCGAATTCCAATTTGCTGTCCTTGTCAACATGTGTTATTTTCTGTTATTTTTCTAATCAGAGAGTGTGTAGTAAGGCTTTCTTTCTTTCTTTTTTTTTTTTTGTTCTGGTCGTGGGGCCTGAACTCTGGGCCTGGGCGCTGTCCCTCAGCTCTCAGCTCAAGGCTAGCACTCTACCACTTGAGCCACAGCACCACTTCTGGCTTTTTTCTTTTTGCTTATGTGGTGCTGAGGAATCGAACCCAGGGCCTCAGGCATGCAAGGCAAGCGCTCTACCACTGAGCCACCTTCCTAGCCCCCTGGTAAGGCTTTCTTTGTTAACCATTCCTTCAAGAAACCTGTGGCCAAGTATGAACAGGACTTTATAACAGAGAAATCTTGTCATGATATGGCAGAGATTCTGGTCCGGGCACTTCTCAACTTGACAGTGAATATTTTCTCAAAAGTTCCACATCATCACAAACCAACCTAACTCTTTGGTTCTGAACCTTGTTTGTGAGGCACAGGAGTTCTGCAGGATTTCCTGACTGGTGAGAAATGCAGATTCCTGGGTCTCACCCCAGGCCTTCTCAACCAGAAACTCTTAGCAGGGTTCTGATGCAGGTCAGGCCCAAGACCACAGGGCTGAGATCAAATTGTTCTTAATGACCTTTCCCCGATGCCAGACAGGAAACTCTGCTGTTGAGTGCTGCGAGGTTTCCGAGGGAGCTCATCAGGGTCAGTCTGTTCTGTGCTTTGTGCCAGTTTTAGGAAAGAGTTGGCTTAGCCAGTGCCTACATTTGGAGCTTTGTGCCGATTAATTCATCAGAGTTGCTTTAGAACAAATGGCCCCGGAGAACAGCCTGTCCCAGCTCAGCTGTCATCCAGGCTTTGTGCCCTCCATCGCCCCACAGCCTCGCGGACACCCCGCAGAGACCCACAGAGGACGCCTCAAAATGAGCAACTTGAGCTTCAACGTAGAGGAAAGACCAAGAACAAGAGTAAGGGCCTATTTCCTGGGTGTCATGATTAAGAATAAAATACTCCTCACGTTGTACTACTTAAATAAGAAAACTCACCAAGCCAGAAAGTTACAATTAGTATTAAGTCGGCCTTTTCTTTTCTGTAATGTTTGTAAATGAAAAGGTCTTTGGTTCATCATTTTTTTAAATGCCAGTACAAGGGCTTGAACCGAGGGCCTTGGAACTGTCCCTGAGCATTTTCACTCAGGGCTAGCATTCTGCGCTGTGAGCAGCAGCTCCGCTTCCTACTGAAAAGGTCTTTGGAGGAATAGGAGACTGCACAGATGAGACAGTTCACCCCAGGGGGTGTCTCTCCCTGTGGGGGGACCACGCTATCAGGGTGAGCCAGGACTACAAGGTCCATGGCCCCAGCTGCCCTCGCCTGCTATGGGGATTGCTCCCAGTCCTCCTCTCCCCCTCCTCTCCTCGCCACCCCCCCAGGTCTTCTCCAGCTCCAAGCACCCCCAGACTCCAAGGCCCTCCCCAGGTTCCGAGGCCTCCCCCCAGTTCTGTGCCCCCCCGGCCCTGAGGCCCCTCCTCCCCAGGCTCTGACACCCTCCCCAGGCTCCAAGGCTTCCCCCAGGCTCTGAGCACCCCCCCACACAAGCTCTGAGGCCTGGATTCGAAGTCCCAGACCACCCTCCCCATTCTAGGACAGAGCTAGGAAAGAAACCTCCACATGCTCTGTAAAGGATGTTTCAAAATGTATTTCCAATTAACCAGCAATAAGCCAGAAGCAGAGGCGTGGCTCCACTGGTGGTGAGGTGCCAGCCTTGAGCGGATAGCTGAATGAGCACTCAAGGCCCTGAGTGCAAGCCTAAAAAGAAAAATGGATCTGCAGCAGCCTCCAGCGGTGGTGAAGCTGGCACTAGTGTGCACCGGTACAGAGGCACAGGAATCTGGGAGCTCTGCCTTCATGCTGAGACAGGTGGTTTTGTTCTTCCTCTAAAACATAGCTCCATGTTTTCTTGCAGTATCTGACACCCGATGTGTCATAAACATTAACTCTGTGATAAAACTGGATCGACAGCCTGATTATTTTCCTCCACTTCTTGCCTAAATCAATATCTGTTTTTTTGTTGGTTATAAACTTGGAATAGTTGTTTGTCTGTCTGTGTCCTTTGAGTATAGGGGAACACAAACCAGACTTAACCCTCTGGCACTACCTGACACATACTTAATGGAAGAAGACCCCCCTCCTTAGATACATGCATTTTGTTTCTTTGTTCTCTTATGAATTAATAAATTACAGTGCTTCTATCTTCTGAGTAAACCTTTATCACTGATTAGGCCTCAAAGGCTAATTGAATTTATATTTACTAAAAGACCTAAAAGACTAATTTTTCCAAAAATGTACATTTCAAGAATTGAAAATGGTAAGCATGCATATAACTTCAAAATTATTATCTGTTATTTTTAAGTAGTTGTACATAGGAGTTTCAGTTCATCATGTCACTTTATGAATCCAATGTATCTTGATCAATGACCCTACCCACATAACTTGCATCTTTACCTGGCACTTTGAGAGCAAGGAAGCCAGTGAATGAAGGGAGCCTTTCTGTGTGTATATTTGTACTTCTCAAAAGGAAAACCTATAGAAAAGACTGTTTAAGTATCACTGAGCCTTAATTGTGTATAAATGTTCTATCAAAGTGGTAATCAAATGTGATTACTAACCATGAAATAAAACTACAATATTTAGGAAACATGCAGTAATAAATGCTTCCCATTCAAAATGTATGCTTTTAAACCTAAGCTTACCTTCCAAGTTTGGAAAAAGACTTTATAACAAATAACTAAACAAAATGTTCTTAAATAACAATTACTTAAGCTGGGTGCCAGTGGCTCATTCCTACACTCCTAGCTACTCAGGAGGCTGAGATCTAAGGGTACCAGTTCAAAGCCAGACCGGGTAGGAAAGTCCGTGAGACTCTTATCTTCAATAAGCCACTCAGAAAACTGGAAGTGTCGCTGTGGCTCAAGTGGTAAGAGCACTAGCTTTGAGCTGAAGAGCTCAGGGACAGCTCCTTGCAAAGTTCAAGCCCCATGACCGACAAAAAAAATAACAGTTACTTAAACAGGTTACCACAGTCTATTTCCCTATCCTTACAATTGGAATTTAGTTGGTTGTGAACTTGGATTAGTTAAGATTAAAAAAAGATGAATCCTAGTGCATGACACTATGTATTCTGGGTTCATTTATCCAAAGGGAAGAAAAATGCTGGTTAACACACCTTAGACATAATGTATAATGAAGTCTCTAGCACAACACTTCCAAACTTTGCTGGTATGGGATTTACTTGGAATATTTCTTTTCTTTTCTTTTTTTTTTTTTTTTTTGGTCGGTTGTGGCGCCTGTACTCTGGGCCTGGGCACTGTCCCTCAGCTCTTTAGCTCAAGGCTAGCACTCTACCTACTTGAGCAGAGTGCCACTTCCAACCTTTTCTGCTTAAGTGGTGCTGAGGAATTGAACCCAGGGCTTCATGCATGCAAGGCAAGCACTCTACCACCAAGCCAACTTCCCAGCCCTAGTTGGAGTATTTCTAAAAGGCAGCATCTTTGCCCTAGCCCCAGAGGTTCTAAACCAGTAATTTAAGATCCAGAATGTTTATCACACAAATACATGCTCAGCTAACTCCTAGGAAATTAAAAGAGCACATGCCTTTTTGAGAAATCACATTAATTTTTTTAGTGCATATTGTATGTCCTATTTCATCTGAAGGCACCGATTTAGCAGCTAAAATGCTGGCTTGGGGTCATCTTTCGGATGTTTTGTACTGGACGGAACTTCCCACAAAAGACAAGATCTCTTTCACCGTGGATGTGAAGATCTGTCCATAACTTGTACAGTTCATTCATGTTTCTGAGCCCTATGGCCTCTGGAATGGTTTTGCTTTAACTTGTGTTTCTTTCTTTTTTTTTTTTTTGCTATCTTCCATATTGCCACTAATATTGTTGTACATATTAAAATGAAATTAAATCAGTGAATTTATTATGTTTTCTTCTTTTTCTAGGGAAGACGAGGCAAAACAGGACCCCCGGGAAAGCCGGGACCCCCAGGACCCCCCGTGAGTAAAGTGTGGAGTGGCCATGCCTGAGTCTGTGCCCATTTCTGTGTTCCCTAGGGACTGCTCTTCAGAATCATCTACAAAATTGGCTTTCTGTGCTTGATGGAGAGCTTCCCACGTTCCTACAGATAGGAATTAGATATTGTGTGCTCCCAACGAGGGAACATTTCCTAATTTTAACACCATGTATGGAGCAGTTCATGTTGAGGAAAGCTCAGAGAGATAAAACTTAGAATAGCTGGAAGATAGCAAGGAAAGGCAGCTCTCTGGAGGCTCAGAGGCTTGGCTCCCAGCGTGACTTTGTCCAGGGCCTCAGGAGAGCACTCTTCCTTTGGGGATTGGGAAGTGTTCTCTAAATCAAAGGCATGCTGTCATTTAGGGGAGTGTGAATAAAGATGAAAAGAAAGGGAAATGAACTGGAAAGTCTCTCAGGGCCTAAAGCAATTCAAAGTAATTAAAAGGCTTCAACAATCTTATAACTCTTTGTTCTGAGGCCAAATTTATAGCTTCCCAATTTCTTAAGAAATTTGTGTACCAAAAAGCCAAGTTGTTTGCAAAAAAAAAAAAACTTTCTACAACTTTCCATTAACTAATAAGGTGTGCGTATGTCTGTCTGTTTATGTGTGTGTGTGAGAGAGAGAGAGGGAGAGAGAAAGAGAGAAACAGAGAGAGGACAATACATGAAATATTAACTGTCCTATGGAACAAAAATAAGAGAATATTTACCAAAAATAATTTTAAGTTGTCTTTGAGTCAGTTTCATGAAAGATTATATATATATTTTTAACTATAACTATAATTTTACACATATAACTAGATAAACATAGAACTATAGATATATTACTCAAAATTAGCTCTCCACTATCTAATAGAAATTTCATCTTTAGGGAAAATTTTTGGATTTAGGGAAGGCTTAGTTGCCATTTACACAAATGTAATCTGCATATAATAAAATTATTCTTAATCAGAATGCTTGGAATTCAGGAACAAATAAAGTGGCTACAGGGCAGGCTACAAGCCCCAATGCTAAATGTATTTTCATGAAATACCAATCCACTTTTCTGTTAAAAAGCAGAATTTGTCTATACAGAAGGAAAGCCTCCCAGATTCTCCCAAATACCTCCTGCATCTGTTCTTGCAAGTCTGTTTTCTGTGGATGTGGCTGATTGCACAGAGTGGGCACTTTATAAAACTAGTCCCTTATCCACCTGGCCAGCCCAGGAGGTCAGTGCCCTCCTGAGACCTAGTGGGCTGCGGTGGGGGCGAGGTCTCTGGGCCGGCAGAGCAGGCCTGCTCCGGGAAACACAAACTGCATCACAGGACTTCACTCCCATGAAGTCATCTAACCTAATCACTTCCCAAAGCCCCACCTCCAAGCACCTTTCCCATATTTTGAAATTGCATCTCCAACACATAACATCTGGGAGAAACATTAAGGAGAGATGTTGCAGATTAATGAGACCCTTGAAAAGAAATCAGAATTTAAGGCAGAAAGCAACTTGCTTAGGAAGGACATAACATTCAGAAGTGGGATGGATTAAAGCTGAGTGCATTTATCCCATGCCTCGTTCTGTGTTAGCTATGTCCAGTGGTTCGTGAAACCCTCAGAACTCTCTGGACAAGCAGAAATTGTTCTCACTTTATAATTGGGTGTGTGGTGCTTAGAGATACCACAAAACGTGCTCAAGACTACATAACTAAGGCTTCTAGAAATAAGACCCAGGACTTGATCCCTGAACCTAGCTGACCTCCTAGACCCAGGTAAGTAGCAACTGTCTGTTTATGATGTGACTGGGATCCTACACAAAGAATCATTTGAATTTTAGATGGCAATTTATGGCATTGTCCTAGCCTAGGACAACGAGAAAGTATGTGATGGTGGTGAGAAAATGAATCCCTTTGAGGGCCCTTCTGGATCATTCCCCTGGACATTTGCCTGCCTCCCTGACCTTCTCTGTAAGTTAGAAATAACAGCGCGACCTTCCCCATGCCAAGTATGCTGAGAACGTCCCTTCTGTGTGCAAAGCCTCTGCAAGTGTTTTAAACACTCATTAACATTTTAGGCAGAAGACGATTGTCTGACATGTCCAATAGAAATCACCAACATTTTTCACCTTTACAAATTTCTCAAAATCCAGTTGACAAAAATTGGAATGTTTATCCATGGATTCCTTAAGTAAACCCTCTAAATATGAAATACTTCTTCTATATATGTAAATCCTACTTGAAGAGCTTTAACATTTATTTCCAACTAGCCATGACATTGGTGCGTGGCTTACTCCTGTAACCCTAGCTTCTCAAGAGGCTGAGATATGAGGATCATGGTTAGAAGCCAGCCCAGGCAAGAGTCCATGAGACTCTTGTCTCCCATAAACCACCAAAAAGCTAGAAGTGGAGCTGTAGCTCAAGTCATAGAGAACTAGCTAGCCTTGAGCAAAAAAGCTCAAGATTATCACCAAGGCCCTGAGTTCAATTCCTAGGACTGGTGTGCATGCATGTACATGCACACACACACATGCATGCATGCACACAATAATAATAAATAACACTGAATTTGAATAACTCAATGACCATTTTCTTCTCCTTTAGGTTTAGGGTCTCTTTCTTGCTTGTGGGGTATGATTATCCATGAGCTGAGCTATGGTATTTCATTAATTAAGATACTCTCTAAATCTCCACCTCCTATGCTTTGCACTCTAATAAAAGAAACTTTTCTAAACAGTCTTCCATTAATTTCTGTATTATGACAAAAGTTAGAACATCTCAGGACTTGGAATGCCTTAGTTCTGATCACAGTGCTTTCTTTGGTGAAGGGGAAGCTGCTGGAGATGAGATAGGTTGACTGCATTACAGGAGGCTGTGCATTCCTTAACTTCCAATCCATTATCTCTGTGAGGAGTGTTCATTAAAAACCACATTTATTGTAAGATGTGCTATTATTTCTTGCTATTGCAGGTGAGGCTTTTCATTGTCTTTTTCTAGTATTGTTTTTGTGCACCATCTCCTGGCTGCTGTTTGAATGTCACAGATTTGGTTGAAGATTCCCGGCCGGTACAATGTGGGATGGTGGCACCCCCTGGTGTCAGACTTGAGAACTGCAGGGCAGAGAATGGCCTGTAGGACTGTTGCAGTTGGGGACATTGTTCTGTGTTTGAGGCTTAATTTATAAACCAACACCATTTTATTTTTCAGGGTTGTGGCATTTTCTAGCTATCTTGTGGTAGAATGCACATAGAATATCATCAGCTTGTGAGATGGTTAAGGAGAAAATCGTTCTGAGTTCCTGGGCCTCTGAATGCCCAGGAACCACAAGCCCTGGCAGGAGTCTCCAGCATTAATGCACAGTGAAATGTGCAAGCAATATTGTAGAAAATACATACTATCTTCTTAGTTCTCCCTCATTTTCCTTTTTGTGCTGGTACTGGGCTTGAATTCAGGGTCTGGGCACTGTCCCTGAGCTTTTCAACTCTAGGCTGGTCTCTACCACTTGAGCCACAGCTCCATTTCTGGCTTTTTGGTGGTTCATTGGAGATAAGAGTCTCAAATCCTGCCTTGACTGTATTTGGACCTCAATCCTGAGATCTCCCTCCTAAGTGGGTAGGATTACAAGAATTAGCTACCACTGCCCAGCACAAGTCAGTATTCTAAAATACATTTTAGACTCAAGAATGAAGCAGATGACCTCTATTAACATGTCCTGTGTGTGATTGTATGCATGTTTGAGGCTAATCGTGTCTTGATAGGGTTCCAGTGCACACTCCTGACCTCCTTTCGTGATATGATTGGAGCTTTTGTTTCTAGTTTTCCTTATAGCAGGACCCTAGGTTTATTAAATGACTAAAGGCCATGAACTTTCAAGATAATATCCTCAGAGAAAATGCCCATGCCACTGACTCCAGTCAATGGGAGTAGTACTTTCACTTCTTATTAAAAACAAGATGGTATCCTCAGATTTTACATTATAAACACGGAAGACTTAAGAATTGGAGATATGACCAGCTAATTATTTTTATTGCCACTTGTCCCTCCTGGGTTTACAGCCCCAGACAAAACAGCTGTTGTCAACATAGCTGAGATTCCAGCCCCCCTGTGTCCACTGAGTGGATGCTGAGACGTGCGTGGGAGGCAGAGGCTGAGATTTCAAAAGTGGCATTGGATTCTGTTTCCTAATGACATCTCTTGATCTCCATGAACAGAGGCGATAGGCAATTATAGGCATTTTCTGACTTCCTGAGATTTTTGTCCATTCTGGCTCTGTAACAGGACTTTTACCTTCACTCAGCCCTAGGCCAGGTTGCATCTAAGCTGCTGTTCTTAAAAGCAGTATGGAAGCCAGGCACCGGTGGCTCATGCCGGTCATCCTAGCTACTCAGGAAGCTGAGAACCATGACGGTTCTAAGCTAGCCTTGGAAGAGGGGGGAGGGAGGAAGGAAGAGAAAGAAAGAGAGAGAGAGAGAAAGACAGACAGACAGGAAGGAAGGGAAAAGAAAGAACGAAAGAAAGGAAGGAAGGAAGGAAGGAAGGGAGAAGAAAAGAAAAAAGGCTCATGAGATGCCTATCTCTGGTTACCCAGAAAAGAAAGCTTGAAGTGGAACTGTGGCTCAAGTGGTAGGGCACCAGCCTTGAGCAGAAAAGCCAAGGGACAGCGTGCAGGCCCTGAGTTCAAGCCCCAGCACGGCAGGGGGAGGGGGAAAGAGGAGAGGAAGAGAGAGACTCCAGTACAGTGAACAGAAAATGTGTTGAGGTGAGGCGGGGCCTGTAAGCTAACGTCCTCCTGCTACTCGAGTCCCAGGGTGGACGAGAGTCAGGACGCAGTCCATCCTGAGGCAAGGCGCGGTGGTCTTTTGCAGATAACACTGGATGCACACTATTTATTTCTATATGTCCTTGCTGGCCGGCCGGCTGGCCCACAGCAGGACATACTTGAAGAGAAATGAGAATGAAATATTTTAGGGCTGGATGAGCACAACAGCATTGGGGGAGAAAACATTTTCCTAGCC